GTTCAAGTTTTATATAAACCCATAATCTCTCCAGTTTACCCAATTATGTGAGCTGGGAAGGTGGCGATGAGTGGGGGAAGGTGGGGTTGCTCGGGGTGGGGAAGAAGATTGGGGGTGCGGGTGAGACCGGATGGAGAAGGTTGGGGAATGTGAGGGCGATGGGCTGGAGAAAGGAGTTGGGTTTTTTATGTTTCTTTATTTATATTTTTTTTATTGTTAACTCACATAAAAACAAAAATAGGGGCATTATAGACTTTTACTGACGATTTTAGGGTTAAGCAAATTTTGTAATACAGTGACCATACTGTTACTTTCTCATTCTAGTGGACCAAAGGGTATATAAGGTAAAATGCCTCCCATATCGCAAGTATCAGTACCATCACATTATTTGTTAAGAGATCAGTACTTGTCCGTGAAATTTTCAAGCGATTATAATTTCAGAAAGTCTTTGATAGCTTAGTAGCAACAACTTGTAGACCTTATACACATCGGAAGAAGAAGAAAAAAGAACTTAGAATAATATTTTTGGAGACAATACTACACTTATAACTCAATCTCACAAACTCTTTCTCATAACCTCTAAGTAGCAATTTTTAGTTTTTTGCTGATGAATTTCCCAAAATTCAAAATTCATCAACAAAAAACTGAGAGTTGTCTCATAGGAGTTGTAAGTGGGAGTTTGTGAGATTGAGTTATGAGTTAATTTTTATTAAATTTTTGGCAATTAGTTTTGGGAATTTTCTTAATATAGCCAATTTTGAATCCATAGGAATTTGTCAAAAGGAGAAAATAGGAATATTCCATTACTGAAGAAACAAGTGACAATTCTTTATAGACAATGTAAGATTTAGATGATTGAATGTTTCACCTATGAATAGTAGATGATAACCAACATCAAAATATCCCTATCCTAATTAGCTTGCAAGTTAACCCAGTGGTATCCCTATGACCTATTAAACAAAACAATAAAAATTGACTCACAGTCTAATCTTACAAACTTTCTTTCACAATCTCGACGTGAAAACTTGCGATTGGCCAACTCATAAATTAACAAGCAAGACCCATAGCGAGTAGATGGGACCTATTTGCGAGTTGATCAATCACGAATTATCACGTCGAGGTTGTGAGAGAAAGTTTGTGAGATTAGATTGTAAGTGTAGTATTACCTCAATAGAAAGGCACTTCATTATTATTTGTACAAAAGGACTTAGTAGATACTTTTTACGCGAACTTTTAGACTCATCTTTCTCCTGTCCTCTCTGTTTTTTTACAGAGAGCTCTGTTTGCTCAGTTCAACTGTCTCTTCTTTTTCACGTTCATTATTATAGTTATTCTTACAATTAGGAAATGATTCCTTGATACACATATACACCGTCAATGGCACGGAAGGTAAACATGTTATAGGACACCAATACATTTTTTTCTTTTTTCAGAAAAAGAGTACATAAAATTACCATAGAAGCATGCTGTGTTGCTTTTCATTCATCCCTTGAAAATACAAAAATAGCTGAAGTGAACTTCTAAAAGTGACAGACCGACTTGTATACTAAGCAGGACACATTGAGATTCTGAGAAAAAAGCTACCTTGCTAGAGGAGACAATTCGGTATGAAAATCTGAATTGGTCAATTCAATAGAGTCTTTTGATTCAGTGTCATTGCCCACCTTCTTATGGGCTATCTCAATTGCTAAACACTCATTGAGTTCTGTCACTACTTGATTCATGGTTGGCCGTTTGGTGGAAGTTGGAGAAACACAAGCCATAGCTATTTCTACAGCTTTCCAGCCAGAGTTTATGTCTAAGTCTCCCTGTAATCTTGTATCAACAATATTTCGAATATCAGCCTTGGCAAGCATAGAACCAACCCATAGACTTATATGAGTTCTCTCGAGGGCTTTTTCAATCACAGGTTTACTTGTGATTATCTCCAACAGAACCACTCCAAAACTATAAATATCACTTTTTTCAGTCAACCTGTCCGATAGATTAGTACTTACAAGGCATAACATCACTCAGTTTACTTACTTGGGATTTCTCGGCTTTAAACTGTGGTTTTGTTAACTACAGAAAGAACCAAGTCTACTTACTCAGGATCTAGGTATCCAGGGGTGCCAGCAATAGCAGTTGAAACATGAGTTCCACCTTCAACAGGAAAAATTCTGGAAAGGCCAAAATCTGCTAACTTGGCTTGGAATTTTTCATTCAACAAGATGTTTGTGGACTTCACATCTCTATGGACTATGGGTGGCTTACAACCACTGTGGAGATATTCCAGTCCTACAAGTCAGATTGATTGCATATCAGTTCATTTACACATATAGATAAATAGACATGTGAAAAGTGAAAAAAGATATTGAAAACCATATACTCCTAACCTTGTGCTGCTTCTGTTGCGATTTGAAGTCTCCCTTCCCAACTCAATATATTTGAAGCATCTTCTGCTACCACAATAAATTAATATATCTCTATTTCTTTTAATCAATATAAAAGCAGCTTATTTGTACAACTCTAAGAAAAATGCTGTGATTAGTATTAGAAAATAGCAATGTTCAAGGAAGAAACAAACCTAAGAGATGTTCCTGTAAGTTTCAGTTAGCCATGAATTCATAAATCAGAGCCATTCTTTGTGCCCTCATCACAATACCCAACAAGTGTTGTCAAGTTTTTATGATGAACTCTCATAAGTAGTTCAACCTGAGAAGAGAGGCCATAGCATAGTCATTCTGCTCTCTTGCCTATGTGAAAAGTTGGAAAATTTCTGGACATGTTAGTTTACATACCTCAGCTTGGAATTGCTTGTACCCTTGACCTGATGATGGAGAGAGCATCTTCACAGCTACTTGATTCTCATCTAAGTAACCATGGTAAACTGTTCCAAATCCTCCTTTACCAATAACCCTCTCAAAGTTGCTGGTAATCCTCACCACATCAGAGTATGAGAACATTCTGTTTTTGAAAGCCAATGATCCATCCATCTTCCAGACTGGAACAGTATCATATACAAGTAAATTAATAAGCATGAATTCATTGAAAAAACATTTCACTTTCATGATAATTTCGATGTGCTCATACCTTGTTTTGCTCTCCTGAGGCTCCATATAATAGCCATTGCAGTTAAGAGGACACAGACTGAAACAAGTGTAGCTAATAATGGAACAAGATAGTTGTTTTTTGCTTTGCATGAATCTGAATAACAAATATCCGGATTCCCATCCACACTAGAATCAACAGATTATGATGTCAGTGTAAGACTTGAAATAATAACAATGGTTACGGGAATTATAATCACAGTGATCTACAACTTTTGACTGAAAGCACACCTTAATTGCAGCAAACCATTGTTCTTCCTTTCCTTGAGTCCAGCTGGAATTGAACCCTTGAGTTTGTTTCCTGACAAGTTTCTGTAAAAAAATAGTAAAGTTGATATTTCATTTTTATAACCAAGCAACATCTTTTCTTGTTTGTAATAATACCAATCAAATAACTTACAGCACAGTCAAAAATGGTAGCTGTGACAGAAAATCAGGCACTGGCCCAGTCAAACTGTTGTTTGATAAGTCCCTGAAATGGTGATTGAAATTCGAAAATGCTAAGCTGACTTATTGATTCCCATCATTAACAGGTTGGAAACTTACAGGTTTATGTAAGATAGAAATGCTTACAGAATTTGTAGTAATGTGAGACTGGATATGTCCGGAGCTATGTCCCCGGTTATTCCACTCGAAGACAAGTTCCTGAATGTTTAAAAATTCTGTTAACACTGTTAAATCAAGTTCAGCAAGTAGGATGCTTTGTGTGAAGATGTAAACTCACAGAGATATGATCTTTGGGGGATTGAAATTGTCATAGCTGCAATTAAGACCTTGCCACATGTAGTTAGGGTCACATGGATCTCCTTGCCAATTTCTTTTCACCCCATATTTTGACTTGATGTTCAGAATAGCATCAACTGATTTTCTCATAGAAGTCAGAGGAAAAATCTTGGTGACTGATTGTTAGATAAAGAAAAATAATTGAAAAAAAAAAAAGGTTGTTTAGAAGAACCTACCATCTTGTTCATTTGTCAGCAGTTGCGGGAATTCTTTCACCTGATATATCTCAAGGGCGTTGAGGATAGGTGGTATTGTTGAATTCTCAGTTTTGAATGAGAACTCATATTTGTCTTCACTTATGGATAGTATGCTGTATATAACCTTTGCATATAAGTAAACAGAAATAAAAGGTCCATACCACAGTCTTCCATTTACATAGATGCCCAGATTTCTAGTCTGGTTGGCTTGGTTCTCTTCAACATCAGCAAAGTAGAAGTATGTATAATATTGGAACTTGGGATCACTAGGCTCCCAACTATACAGCAGCAAATCGCTACCATTTGCAGGTGTTACTGCAGTCTGCATAACTTTAGATGGTGGTTCGTAATCATTGTTCAGAGAGTCGACTTTGAGAGAGGTACTTTTAGATACCCAGTTTTGATCGCTGAAGGGTGACCATATCCGATCATAAATGTCATCTTCATACCTGCATTATGTATTATTTTTCTTTGTACCAAGCTTCAACTTACCAATTTGACTACTGTTAAAGTAAGAATAAGATTAGTAGAGGATATTTTCCTGAAATAATAGGAATTACCTGACTGTTCCATTGGCTTGTGATCCAATATCCAATCTTCTGTACAGAAGCAGTGATCCTGATTGAGTAGCATATGTGGAATTTCTCAAGGGCCTTAATTCTAGAGCTGAAAGGAAAGGTGTGCCGGAGCCTGTGTTTACGAGACACACATATATATAGTTCTTCTGAGGTATGTGGATGATCTCCTTGGTAACAATAGTTGATTCATCTGTCATTTCCACTGAATCCCACACATCAGCTCCAAGAAGAAGATTAAAACTTGGTACCTTACCTCGGCCATCATAATTTCCATACATGAATCTGGCTCTAATCAAAAACTTAGAATTGCCCCGTTCAGGTTTCAACGTATAGCAATTTTTTATTCCCTCGGGGAAGCTTCTAAGATTTAAGAATTGTTGTTCAAGGGTGTTACTGTTGTATTCAAGGGATATATTATTCCTTACGCCCGTCTCTACAAATGCTGCATCTGAAGTGTAATTTATGCCTGTTATCTTGTCAGTATAGCCAGAATTTTCCAGTATTCCACAGTCTATGCTAATGAATCCTGACAGAGAGAAGAAAATAGTAACCTTAGCCTATATTAATTACATTACAATGAAAATTGATAGTTAAGCATCGATATAACCTGATTGACTCTAGGCATGCACCTGAACTGTGAGAGCAACTATAGCAAGAAATGCACAGATGAAATGCTGTAGCATCTCTGACACCATTTTGGTTTCTTCTTTCTCAGGATAATTAAAATGTAGGTACCATCACAAAATTTATACTTCCAGAGTTCAATAAGGAACATTATATTTTATAATTCAATAAAGTTTCTTGTAACTGCAAGCATGCCCTCTTAGGAGATTATTGGATTAAAAGATTAGAATGTTCCTATCGTCTGTAATTATCATGACGCATTTGCAAGACTTCAACTTCAAATGTATTTGTAAAACAAACTTTGAATAAGGGGAAGGAGGACAGGAGCCATAAAGAGGGAATATTAATTATCTCCAACTTGACATGTAGGAGGAATAGTCTACAAAAAGATTTAAAAAATTTAATTGCCTCAAACTTGGAGTCATCTTCATTGGTTAGTATCAAAATAAGTAGTTTTTATATAAACTAGTTGATCAGTACAAGATAATCTTTTCAATTGTTTAGAATAACTGCTGTTTACATTCTGTTAGTTCTGTGATGTGGTTCAAGTTCTGCATAAGCTGGAGCTATTACTCCTCTTGGTGTTCATATTTTTAGTGTTTCCAATAGTATAACACTTCAGGTTCTGATATGACTGTCTAAAGTTTGTATATAGAAAAATTGATCCTCAGGATTTAATTTACAATGTAGGATCTGTGTACTACAAGAATTATTGATGGTTCAGAAACTACAGTTCGCAGGTATCTGCCTTTACATTATAAAAGTATTGCTGGGACATTACTTTCAGATGACTATACAAAAGCAGATGTAATGCAGGTGAACTTGTCAAAGTAAACGCAAAATGTGAATATTTTAGAGTAAACATGTCACAATTCATTAACCATATGACAATTTAATAAGAGTAAATGTAACGCCATCGGGAAGTAGGAGATATCCAACATCGACCATCATACTATAAAATGGCATTGCTGAGGTAGAAATTATTTAGAAAGAGTTATTGACAAATCTATCTGGAAGAAACAATCAAACCAATTTGTGGTGGTGACATGACTTCGGCAAATCAGTTACAATTGATATATATCTGTCTTTTCAATGCTTTTTTGACAAAGAAATAATAAAAACCATATTCACAATGAATTTAGAAACTGTGTAAAGCCATCCTGGCTAAAAGTTATAAGACACTACAAAATAATAATAGAACAAAATGTTTCTTTCTATTTCGGTTAGAAGTCCTAATATCAACACTCTCAGCTGGCAGAATTACTACCTTGCTAACGGGGAGAATTCTGTATGGAGATTCACAGAAATCATTTCAGCATAATCATTTGGTTCGAGCTCACTAGAATCCTCCCTTGTTCGAGCTGTCTCCATTGCTAAACACTCGTTTAGTCCTATCACTACCTGATTCATTGTAGGTCTTCTGGTCGAAGTTGAAGATACACAAGCCATTGCTATTTCCACAGCTTTCCAGACAGTGTTAATATCCAAATCTCCCTTCAACCTTGGATCAACAGTATTTCTAATATCCCCTTTGGAAAGCATAAAACTAACCCAATAACTTATGTGTGCCTTGTCGTTTTCAATTGCTTTTGAAATCATTGGTCGGCCTGTTATTATCTCCAGGAGCACAACCCCGAAACTGTATACATCACTTTTTTCAGTCAACCTGTTTGATATATAGTACCTGCAAGCCAACAAAATGAGATTTGAATTTTTTAAGAATTTTTTTTAATTTTAATTGAATTATGTGATTTATGTATGCTTTGAGATAATTTCTTGTAACAGAAGCAATCACTGCACAAGCAAGCGTCATTTTATTAAAGTGGTGCATTTCAGCTTTTTATTAAATTGAAAATGCACCATTTACTCTGTAAATTCAGGGAAAGATTTTTACTATAGGACTTTCATTGCAAATTTTCAACAGCTCAGAGAATAGATAGGAGTTCAAGAGCAGTCTCTTCTAACTACAGAAAAAAAATGCTGCAATTACAAAGTACTCTGCTCTGCACTGTTCTGTTTCTATTTTATTTGTTTAAGCTACAATTTTTTTACATTATCTAATTTGAGGTTAAATAGTTTTTATGGATCTAAAAATGGAGAAAAAATTACACAATTTTCTTCAATAAAATCTTATATGAAAGTATTTGTGGTGTTGGAAAACGAATAAAAAATCAGATTGCAGAACCATCCTCTGGTGTCATATCTGTTTTCTACAGAGTTCTGCTTTGTGTATTATTTATTTGTTCTTGTTTTGACTCGATAAAATAGTAAAACTAGAACCAAAGAACAGTAATAAGTTTGTGTTGGTGAGGATAAGTTGAGTTAAAATTTAGTTTTGAAGTATAATTGAGAAAAAATTACTTACTCAGGATCAAGGTATCCAGGGGTGCCAGCAATAATAGTTGAAATATGAGAGACACCTTCAACAGGAAAAGTTCTGGACAGCCCAAAATCAGCTAGTTTGCCTTCAAGTTTATCGTTTAATAAGATGTTAGTTGACTTCACATCTCTGTGGACAATCGGTGGTTTACAACCGTGGTGCAGATACTCCAATCCTACAATCAAAAGTCAATGAAGTTTAATTGACTTGAAGCCTGGATTCAAAGATTGCTACTAAAATGAAAATCATTTTGTAATGTTCTGCTTGCTAACCTTGAGCTGTTTCCACCGCTATTCGAAGTCTCCTTTCCCAATTCAAGATGTCTTTGCTACTATCTGCATTCATACAGAAACTGTTTAGACCTTACTGCATAATTTGGTATAATTAAGTAGTCAACAATCTTGAATAATGTGGTTATTCAACAAGTTTCCAGAAAGAAAAAATTGTATGACTCCATCGTTTTGGAAGGAAAATTTGATGAGAGAATAATAAAGCTTGTATGCAATAATTTTATATACAATAGAAGAATTCAAGTAGATTAAAACCTGACAGATGCTCTTCTAAGTTCCCTTTAGCCATGAACTCATAGATGAGTGCCATGTTGGTGCCCTCATCACAGTACCCCACCAGTGTTGTTAAGTTTCTATGGTGAACTCTCAGAAGAAGCTTGACCTACATTTAGGAACAATTTATTGTTACTCAAGAAAATTGATGCCGCATTTTATCGCATAAGTCATGAACTTGAAGTTTGTAGTGGATACCTCTGCTTGAAACTGTTGATACCCTTGAGCGGATGATGGGCAGAGCATCTTTACTGCTACTTCAATATTGTTATCTATGTAGCCATGGTATACTGTTCCGAATCCTCCTTTACCAAGAACCCTTTCGAAGTTGTTAGTCATTTTCAGGACATCGGAGTAAGAGAATTGTCGATTATTTCCCTCCAATGACTCAAATGAGGTGATGGATCTTGTGTCCACACTCCTACCTGTTAAATTATATTAAAGCACATTAGGAATTATCTGTATGAAAATATTTTGCTCTTAAAGGGAAAAGATACATACATCGTGAGTAATGTATCACTTCAAAAATGTCACTAATATTTGGAATAATGTGGTTCAAACCTTTGTGTTTTCTTCTTTTAAAGCTCCACCAGCTAATTAATGCAGCTAAGAGGATGAAAAATACAGCCGCAGATGTTGCTACTGGAATAACTATTTTGTTCTTCTCATTCTTCACCTTTTCACATGAAACTCTGAGACAAAGTTCTGGATTTCCATCAAGTCTAGAATTGAAACAATAGAAGCTTATAAGAATCTGTAATATAACGAGTTAGTTAACAGTAATTTATTAAGTAATCTTCAGTTACAAATACAAATAGATTTGCTTCTTCTGGGTAAATACTTTTTAATGTTTAAGAAATAAAACAGGGGATTTTCGGCATAGATGATAACTTGAGTTCTAAAATTGTTGTCAGGCACAGTGAGAGTACGAAACTAAATACCAAAATCATTTTAAGTGATTTCTAGAAGTGTACCTTAACGTTAGTAAATTATTGTCCCTTTTCTCAATCAGTTGGGCAGGAATTGAGCCGGAAAGATTGTTCCTTTCTAAGTTTCTGCAGAAGGAAATGTAAAAATACTTAGTTTTCCTTACCAAGACACCTGAATTAAGTCTTAATTCCAAGTAACTTACAGGAATGTCAAGGAGGTCAATTTAGATAGAAATTCAGGGACTGATCCGCTCAGATTATTGTCCGACAAGTCCCTGACAAAACAATGGAAATTGGTTAATCAATTTTTTTATTTTCTGTCATAATGCTGACTTATTAACTCCTGTGAAGTTTTTGTACTTACAAAGATGTAATCATGGTGAGATTTGAGAGGTAAGAGGTTATGTTCTCAGTCAATCCACTAGAGGATAAGTTTCTGAATGCAATTCAATAATGTCAATTCTAGAGAACTGGAATAAAGCAACCGTAATGTATTATACTAGCTAAAAGGCATGAACTTACAAGGATGTGATTCTTGGTGGATCATCTGTGCCATAGCTGCAATTAAGGCCTTCCCACAATAAAGCCTGAGGAGCACAAGGATCCCCTTGCCAGTCTTTCTTCAAGTCATAGACCAACTTGATATTTGTAATTGCATCAACTAATGTGTTGCCATATGATACATAAGTAAGAAACTAATACAATAATCCTTGAATAAACAGGCAGCAAATTAGCCTTAAATGGCATAAACTGATGAGAACATACCATCTTGTTGGTCGGTTTGCAACTGCAGGAGTTCCTTCACTGTATAAATCTCAATGGCGTTAATGATAGGTGGACGAGTTGAATTTCTAGTCTTGACAATTGAAAAGTTATATATTCCATTCAAGGCTGCTGGAGAGAACACGGTGGTCGTTTTCAAGTAATCTGGACTAAAAGGTCCATACCAATGTTTTCCATTCAGAGAAATGTTTAACTGTCTGGATTCGTTTGCTTTGAGCTCCTCAATTTCAGCAAAGTGCATGTAAACATAAAACTGGGAATTAGGATCATCTGTTTCCAGGTAGAAATTCAAGGGCACGCTTTCATTGGTCGGTTTGACAGCAGTTCTCATGACAATTTGTGCTGGATGGTAACTATTGCTGACATTAGCATCAACAGTAAGAGTAGTGCTCAAGTTTGACCCCTTATTGAAATTATACGGTGTCCAGACACGATCATAAACATCTTCTTTATACCTGACACATTGCTCGTCAATCAAATACAGCACCTAAACATTTTTCATTTTCTTCAACAAAAGTTATGGTTAACAAAATGTCTAACCTGAATGTTCGACTCGATGTTGAACCCATATCCAGCCGCAAAAAGTGTTCAAGTGATCCAGTCTGAGTTTTATAAGCAGTACTTCTCAAAGGCCTCAACTCTAGTGCTGAAATAAACGGTGTCCCGGAACCAGTATTCACCAGACAGACATGTAAATAATCTAAAGCAACAACATGAATTATCTCTGGGAATGTAGCAGTTGAGGCATTTAGTATTTTCACTGTTTCCCACAAATTAGGCCCCAGGTAGAGATCAAATTGAGGTAATTTGTTCAGTCCATCATAATTTCCATACAAGAAACTCGCCCTGATTAAATATTTCCCACCCTTGGTAAGATTTAGTCTGTAGCAATTTCGTTTCCCTTCAGGAAAACTTCTGACATGCCACATCTGCTGTTGCTTATCATCTCTGAATTCTAGTGGCACAGTAGACGAAGAGCCAGTGTCTATATAGTCCACATCCGAAGTATAATTTAGGCGAGTTGTAGCTTCAGTATAGTTTGGAGAATTCCTTGGTAAACCACAATCCAAGCTAATGAATCCTGATAGAGAAATATGAACAGTTAGTTTCCCAGTTACATAAACAGAAACGAAACTTCAACATATTCAAGATTCAGATAAATTATATGCAAACCTGATTGATTCTGTGCAGAAACAAGAACAGTAAGAGCAAAACAACCCAGTAACAGCAAGACAAAGCTCATGAAAATCTCCATAACCTTTCTGGGTTTACCAAACAGTAGATCAAACATTCAATCTTATTATTTATACAGACAAATCTTCGGTGTAAACAACAAGAATGATATCCAGCGACATGGTCAAATGCACTCGAAACTTGTTTTTTGTCTAAATTGGCTAATATATTACTCAAATTTATGAAATATTTAATTGGGTTAATTGGGTCAACATCAGGTGGCTGAAATTGTTGAACGAAGACAGAGTTGTTGGGAGACTTGAAGGAGAAAATTGTGCAGCCTGAGTCCTTGGACTGATTATGAAAAAAAAAAAGGGATCAAGGATAAGCTTGATGCATAGTTAAATTTAAACATGTAAACTTCAGGTTCCTGGAAGGTTACCCAAGCGTGTGGAAAGTGAAAAGGAAACTTTTATTGTGGATTTCGTTGTGGACTGCTTCTGCATGCAGCTATTTTTATATTGTTTTGTATAAAGTATTTTTTATGCAAATTGATATGGTCCTAAAGTTCAATTAAATGGACCCATTATGAGAATAAAAAAATAAATGTAAGGTTCTATAAAAGGTAGACAAGAATTTGTATATGTTAATGGTAATCTCAATGACTTTATTTATACAGTACTTCCTTTTTAGAATGACTCGATTTTTCGACCATGTTGTAAAATTACTTTAATTCTTTCCCATATATATACCAAATTTTTTTTTTTTATATTTTTTGTTAAAGTTGAATTTTTATTTATACATCACCAATATAGTGAATCGTTATAATGTATATACGTGGTTTGACTCTCTCCTTTAAGTTAATTTTTAGGATGAGTTCTACTCAAAATATATTTTAACTTAGTATCAAAGTCACTCTTATTCTTGTTTGGGATGAGGGTGATGGTTGGTATTGGGTTTAAACCATTTGAGTTCTACGTAAGCCCATTATATTAATATTATCGATATTTTGATATAATATTATCATATTATTTAACACATCATCTCGTCGTTTACTTTAAACTAAAAATATTTCAAGGAAATTTTGAGAATGGTAAATTTTTTTTTTTTTTAAAGAAATAAAATGTCTTATTTTTTCTCCCATCTTTGATATGAACTTGTTAATTATGTATAATGTATTCACATTGACCCCCAATTTTTCTCTTACGTTTCTATTTTTGACTCAGCTTTTATTATTATTATTATATACTTTTCTCATAAGAGAAAGAATTAACCCATCTGTATATAAAATAAAAAAAAAATTTATTAGGTAGAGAATAATTCAATATATAGAAATACTTGCAAAAAATAATAAAAAATGATATGTCATTCCAACCAAATATATAATAATAATAATAATAATAATAATAATAATAATAATAATAATATTGTTATGCCTGGGAAATCAAGGGCTGACGTGGAGTCATGTGATGAAGCGTGACCTGCTTCCGTTAGAATGGTAAGCGCACGTCAGGCCTGCCAAGCGCCGTGGGGCTCCTACGTGTCTGTTTCCCTGCTCCAAATCGCATGAAATCAGCTTGGGAAATGGGTAATGAGACGTAAAGCCGGATTATGTCCTGACATTCACACCAACCCAAGGATTTAATGATGATTACACGCATTCAACTAGGTATAAAAAAAGGAAAACCCCTTCATTAAGGGGATTCGGCCATTTTTACACTGGAACTCTCTCTTTCTCTTGTAAACTGTATATTCACTTTCCCAATCATTTGTAAGTCAGTCCGCTTTTGCGACCTAACCCACCATATTAATACAAATCAGTGGACGTAGGACTTGCGACCTTAGCATCCGAACCACTTTAAAAGCTCTCATTGCATTTATTTCGTATTCTCTATCCATAATCACGTGTGCTTCTTGACCAATCAACGTTGCGCACGTGTCATTTAGTTGGTGTTAGAATCTAGCATCAACAAATATAATTATTCCAAAAAGAAAAATACTGCATACTTCCATTTTATGAATTATTCCATCCAAGCTAGCAAGGCTTAGAAATACTTTAATATAATTATACCAACATACCAATGTGAATATGTAATCGGTCAAAATGAAAACAAAATGTGAAATCTGCAAAAAAATTATATATTCCTATGATGATTCTGTCAACTTCAAAAGATTGACTATTTCTTTATGAAATATTATAATATAAGAGACAACATGTCGCTTAAACAAGATCATCATCAATTTAATATTATAATAAATTTTCTGCATATGGCATGCAATAAGAGGCCACGCTAAACCAACCTCTTGACTATTTCTCTCTTCAGGTTTCTATTCCGTTATCCTATCCTAAAAACTAAAAAATATATTTTTTAAATATTCTCAAAATTCAGTTAAACTTTATTCAATTCTCAAAATATTAATAATTATTTTTCTCAAAAAAATAACTTAATTTTACTTTTTCTAAAATACTATTCTAAAAAACATTATAATAGTGAATCAAGGCTATTTAAAATCCCATTCTATCCGTCCAAATAGATTTAATTAAATTTAATTGTCTTAGTTGATCTATCATTACCTAAATTAATTAAAATAATTTATAACTAGGTATTTTTCGTCTTGGAGTTTGGACTTTGGGTCACATAAGTACCATTAGCATAGCCCGTAATTGACGTGTGGGCTCCCAAGAGTCCATGACTAAAGTTTTGGGCTTTATGAATTAGTCTTGGGCCTAGAATAATGCATTACCTCTCATTTGTACATCTATGAATTTATGGAAGTAAAATTTTAGCCCAGGCCTAATATCTTCATCCCTATAGTTGAATATCTTTAACCCCATTTAATCATAAAAAATAAACTTTTAAGCTTAATTAGGTTTTTCTTTACAACTTTTTTCCCACAATCTCCTAATTTCAACTTATATTTTTTTCCTTCAAATTTATATTTAGATTCATCTTGTTATGTTTTTCATAATTTTAGTATATATTTCCATCAAACAAACAAATATTTAAAATAAACCAAAATAACTCAATGATAACATAACAGGAATCTGCGCCTTTTTTACATTGCAAGTGATGCATTATNATGCAGCTATTTTTATATTGTTTTGTATAAAGTATTTTTTATGCAAATTGATATGGTCCTAAAGTTCAATTAAATGGACCCATTATGAGAATAAAAAAATAAATGTAAGGTTCTATAAAAGGTAGACAAGAATTTGTATATTTTAATTAATCTCAATGACTTTATTTATACTTCCTTTTTAGTATTACTCGGTTTTTCGACCATGTTGTAAAATTACTTTATTCTTTCTAATATATGTACCAATTTTTTTTTTTTTAATAATTTTTGTTAAAGTTGAATTTGTATCTATACATCACCAATACAGTGGATCGTTATAGTATATATATATGTGGTTCGACTCTCTTCTTTGAGTTAATTTTTTAGATGAATTCTACTCAAAATATATTTTATCTTATTATCAAAATCACTCTTATTCTTGTTTGGGGTGAGGGTGATGATTGGTATTGGATTTAAACCATTTGAGTTCTACTTAAGCCCATTATATTAATACTATCGATCTTTTGATATAATATTATCATATTATTTAACACATCATTTCGTCGTTTACTTTAAACTAAAAATATTTTATGAAAATTTTGAGAATGTTAATTTTTTTTTTTTTTTTTAAAGAAATAAAATCTCTTATTCTTTCTCCAATCTTTGATATGAACTTGTGCATATTATGTATAATGTGTTCACACTTACCCTCAATTTTTCTCTTATGTTTCTATTTTTGAATCATCTTTTATTATTATTATTATTATTATTATTATATACTTTTTTCATAAGAGAAAGTATTAACCCATCTGTAAATAAAAAATAAAAAGTTTATTAGGTAGAGAATAATTCAAAATATAGAAATACTTGCAAAAAATAATAAAAAATGATATGCCGTTTCAACCAAATATATAATAATAATATTCCAAAAAGAAAAATACTACATACTTCCATTTTATGATTTATTCCATCCAAGCTAGCTAGGCTTAGAAATACTTTAATATAATTATACCAAAATACCAATGTGAATATGTAATCGGTCAAAATGAAAACAAAATGTGNTTGATGAAACTGACACTTATGCTAGAATTAATTGTTATCTGCACATATATTTATACATGTGCAACTAGTGCATATAACTATTCATATCGATTCTTCATTTTTTTTTTTTTTTTTTCCTGTAATAAGAGTGTCCTAGATCAGTTTATTGTTAGGGTCAAAAATCTTTTTGAGTCTGATGAAGCCTAATAACGAAATAAATATGTCACGCCTCAAGGCCTCAATCCAATCCCGGTTAGGCCTAAGCTTAAAATCACCTTGTAAACTACCCACTATATAAGTTGTGTTATCCCATAAGTTAAGTTAAATTGGGTTTCAGCTCATGAGCCTGCAACAATCCATACATAGGAAATTAGAATCTCATTCTATTTCCTCTTCTACTAAGATTTCAAATCTTACTCAAACTATTAAAATTAACCTGATAAAGTCAAGAAGTCATATTTCTTTCCTGATATGGATTATCTCCCAAAATAGGACTTAGTGACTTACTGGGATTCCAACCCCTTGGGTTCACTATATAAACAAAGGTGTGCCCTCTCATAAAGGAGGAATCTGCCATAGTCAATCTACACTATGTAAAACTATCTATTTGCTCCTAAAGTTCTTGCTCCTGAGAACCCAACATCTCTGCTTTCGCCGTAGTCCTAGCCTCCGACAAGACTCCTGGTAATTCTTCATCTCCTTAATTCTTATCAAATAATCTCTTTCAGCCTTGCTGACTTGAGCGTTGGAGTGCCTACGGTAAACACCATCCCGGTGTTTTCCGAAAACTTCATGTTTGTCCTTTCATATGTGAAAGTCTAGTGGATTGTCAATAATCTCAACCTTACGGGATCAGTCCACCTTTTCGTAAAGGTAGATTTTTGTATCTACAATTTGGCGCCTACCGTGGGGCCTCTGACAATCGTCATTCCAATGATGACATGCAACATGAGAGGAGGCACGAAACTCCCTCCAATTGACATCGTTAATTTGAAAAGTTCCACCATGATAAGAAAAATTTTTCTTTATTTTTCTTCATTGGTTTATCTGTTCACATGTCAAATTATATCTATTCGGTATATCATAATTTGTTTTATGCATATTATGTCTATTCATCATATAATATGATACCTTAAAGCATCAAAACACATCCCTCGTGTTCATAATTTGTTTTGCGCGTTAGTTGGAATATAGCTCCCCTTTTGGTATATGTTTAATTTCTTTTTAAAAGATATTTCGTATTCTAAAAACCCTTACGTCTCTTGGACATGTTTTAGAGTTTTTAAAAACCCCATTTCCACGTCTCAACACTTCTCATCACTCATCCAACGCTTCCAGCGTAAAATCACGTGTTACTCCGCATATCCCAATTTCAAGATATCATCCCACCTGTTTGATATTTTTCTAACGTGATCATCTAATGTGTAAGAAGACAAACGCTGCTTTGGGCTGCGACCCTTTCTTCTTTACATTACCTTCCCACATATGGCACCATATACATACAACACTCAAAACTGTAATAATACTTAGATCAATCAGCATGGATTCCATCATTCAGTTCATGCCACCAGAGTTTTGTCCATCCATATTGGTTTCCCATGTAACGATAGAAGCGACCCTCACGTGATTACCTCCCTCTTTTATTTATACCAACATCAACCTCTTATAGCCCTACATCTCCATCATATAGCCCCACTTCACCAACCTATAGCCCTACTTCACCAAGTCACAGTCCTCAGTCTACCAAATACAGTCCATCACTGGCTTATCCACCAAGCAACCCAAGATTGTCACCTTCTAGCCCTTACAGTCCTACATCTCCAAATTACAACCCAACACCTGCATCATATTCACCTACGTCTCGATCTTATTCTCCTTCAAGCCCGTCATTTAGTCCTGGCAATCCATATAATTCTAGGGTAAGCCCTGACTATAACTTGAGTTCTCCACTGAGTGTCGGATACTAGCCTAGTGCACTAGTCTGCTATCCATCATCTACTAGTCAATATACCCATAGAAAAATAGGGAAGAATGCCGCCTCCCAATCTCTTTCTTCTTCCATGAAAAATGTCAAAGTTCCCCAAGAAACTTGCCAAGAACAATTCTAATCTTCTCCAAAAATCACCAAATTCGTTTAGAGAACCTCAAGAACTATTGGAAAACGAAGCTTTGTAGAAAAAAACGGAGAAAACCCATGAAACACCTTCAGCCTCCTTCAAAAAATAAAGGCACCAAGCATTTGTAAAACTACTTCACAACAGAAATTCGTATTTTTTCCAGAAGTTCACCCAACTCATAACAAATCCAACCCAAAATTATTTGTTATAGATCCAAAACCTATATTTCAAAAGAATTCCAATTTTTGCTCTCTAGAAAATTATCAACAAACGCCACAAAACCGCCCCTAAACTTCAACTTTTTTATCCAAAAACACATCAACTCCTCAGAATATTTGGATGTCGCTCAAGAATACGGAAAAGTAGAAAACAATAAGAAGTTTGAAAAGAGGAGAAGACTTTACCGTGATTCGCTAAGGTAAAAGTTGAAAAACTCCTATGGCCAGAAAAATCTTCGTGAAGAAACTGAATGAGGAAGACGAAGGTCAAAGAAATGAAATACACATTTTCTTTAAATGAGTTGACGCCAAAAATTATATATATAATAAAATATTTCAAACTTCAAAAGCTATAAGACTTTTTCATACATTTAATGCACCTTATTCAAAAGCGCCACGTGACAAATTTTTGGAAAAGTGAGCTTTCAATTGCCGCCTCCTACACAATGGACTCATATTTCATAAGTTGTTCTCACATGCAAGGGGGAAGGGCCGAATAGATCAACCACTTGTTCGGTTCATTTATTTTCATTTGATTCAAACATATTCATTCGGCCTCATGCATTTTACTCTCCATTCAACTCTATGTTTCTCCATTTGGCTTATTTGACTTGTTGACACGCATGCCACACATAACACCATATGACCATTGGTTATTTCTCCATTTAGTCTTTTATTTTCTATTTGATTTGTTCCAGAAGAATACACGAGGATTATATGAAGTTGAATGACGGTGATCATTCTAGTGTCATTACAACTCTACCTCTGTTTGGAACATCTTTGTTCATGGCTAAGGCTACTTCTTCATTCTGGCTGCGTGAGCTTTGCCGAGTGGACTAATGGTACTTTCGTATCACCTCCTCAAAAGTCAAATCAAATACTCCATTTGATTCAGCAAGCATGGGTGGCAACACTTGAAGGGGAAATGTATGTCTCATTATATCCTTTTAACTAACACTCCATTTGGTTAAATCTTTCTCTGTTTGGCCCATTACTTAAATATATGCAACCTATTTTTCCATTTAGCCCACTCTTCATTCAGTCCATAACACATGCACATCATGCACATTAACTCTCCATTTGGCTCTTTGCTTAAAACATGCATGTCATGTATGTCACTGTTCCAACTTCAATCAAATGTTTTCAACTACAAAGTCGATCATGCTGACTAGGCCACATAGCCCTCAAAGGTTTTAAACTACAAAGTTAGCCATGCCAACAGGGCCTCGGTACTTAGTATTTATAATTTTTTCAACTACAACAGGTTTACATCGACTCGGCCATAAGGCCCAATACATTTTTTTTCAACTACAGATCGATCACGCCGACTCGAACACAAGCTCCACTTGGCATACACCTTCAATTGGTCCAGATTGATTTATAGACTTTACACCTTCAATCGGCCCAGACCGATTTATAGACTTACACCTTCAATCGGCCCAGACCGATTTATAGATTTTACACCTTCTATCGGCCCAAACCGATTTATAGACTTACACCTTCAATTTGCCTAAACTGATTTATAGACTTTATACCTTTAATTGGTCCAGACCGATTTATAGACTTTACACCTTAAATCGGCCCAAACCGATTTATAGACTTTACACCTTCAATCAGCTCAGACCAATTTATAGACTTTATACCTTCAATCGGCCTAGACCAATTTATAGACTTTACACCTTCAGTTGACCCATACCGATTTATATATTTATACCTTCCACCGGCGTGGATCGATTTATATATTTACACCTTCAATCGACCTAGACCGATTTATTGGTTTACACCTTCAATTTGCCCAAACCGATTTATTGATTCACACCTTTAATCGGCCTAGACCAATTTATAGATTTACACATTCAATCGGCCTAGACCGATTGAAGGGCTTGCACCGCAAATCGACAAGTCATCAACCCAATCCACATAACGGTCCATCCAACCTAATGAGCTGCTATCACTAAACCACTTAGTCTGCACTCATTCGATTAAATCTACTCACTAAGCTAAATACTTTTTAACGTAGAGAGTGGGGGGCTAACTATTAGGACAAAAAATCGTCTTGAGTCGGACGAGTCCTAATAACGAAATAAACATGTCACGGCCCAAGGCCTTAGCCTAATCCCGATTGGGTCTACGCTTAAAATCACCATATAAACTACCCACTTTATAAGTTGGGCTACCCTATAAGTTAAGCTAAACTAGATTTCAGCCCATGAGCCTGTAATAGTCCATAAACAGGAAATTAGAATCCCATTCTATTTGCTCTTCTACTAAGATTTCAAATCTTACTGAAACTATTAAACTTAACTTGATAAGGTCAAGAAACCATATTTCTTTTCTGATATGGATTATCTCCTAAAATAGGACTTATGTCCTACTAGGATTCCAATCCCTTGGGTTCACTATATAGACAAAGGTGTGCCCTCTCATAAAGGAGGAATCTGCCATAGTCAATCTACATTACTTAAAACCATCTATTTGCTCCTAAAATTCTTGCTCCTGAGAACCCGACGCCTCCGCCGTAGTCCTAGCCTCCAACAAGACTCTTGGTAATTCTTCATCTCTTTAATTCTTATCAAATAATCTCTTTCAGCCTTGCTGACTTGAGCGTCGGAGTGCTTACAGCAAACACCACTCTGGTGCTTTCCGAAAGCTTCACACTTGTCCTTTCATGTGTGTAGGTCTAGCGGATTGTCAGTAACCTCAACCTCACGGGATCAGTCCTCCTTTCCATAAAGGTAGATTTTTGCATCTACACTTACACGCACTTCAATTAATCCCTAAGGTTCATTGAATATCATTTCTTCATTGACTGCCCCCTTGCCATTCTATTTTATTTTTCTTGATGAGATTAACACCTATTCTGGAATAACTAAAAGTCCACCAATTTAATATATATAGGCTATACAATTGACTGCATTATGGGTGTTTTGACCCCCATCTACCAGGTTGGAGAATGTTGAATGCATCCTTTAATGTTTAATGTTTTGACATTCTTGGCACAAAAGACATGTCAAGTTTTTTGGATTCCTGAAACCAGAAGAAATATTAAGCTTCACAATAGAAATGCTAATGCTATTGCTATCACCAATATGATAAAATGCAAATCATAAACCAAGGATAGAAATTAAACCGAAATCTGTATTCGAAACACAAAAGCACTTATGTTTATGTTCTTTCCAAAAAATAATAAACGGCACAAATTTATACACAAGATTGTAAATTACAAATACAAATAGCTCACTTCAAGCACTAAAAGGAAAATTTTAACATAATACAATGTGATTGACTGAGGCACCAAAACCATTACATTTATTTGATTTTTCATGAAATTCAACCGTCTTCATTTCCTGACCTGAAAGCACTACCTTGCTGAAGGATTAAGTGCAGTTCCTAGATTTATAGAGACCATTTCATGTTGATTTCTTGGTTCAGCCCCACGTCTTCCTTTCCGAGCAATCTCCATTTCTAAACATTGACTCAATTCCCTCACTACATGATTCATGGTTGGCCTTTCAGTGGAAGTTTGAGACACACTAAGCATTGCTATTTCAACAGCTTTCCAGGCAGAGCTGATGTCGAAGTCTCCTTGTAACCTTGGATCAACAGTGTTTTTGATATCCCCTTGTCCAATCATGGAACCAACCCACAGGCTTATGTGATTATTCTCATTGGTATTTGCAATCACAGGTCGACTTGTGATCAACTCCAGAAGAACAACCCCAAAACTAAATACATCACTCTTTTCAGTCAATCTATATGTTTGACAATACCTGCAAGGCCAAAAACATTACTTAGTCCATAATAATTTAAAACAAATGTGGATAAATTTTGCTAAACCACCTTGATTGCTGTGATCTTTCTTTTGATATCCAGGAATTTCTTCTTTTCTAACTTTTCATTCTTTATGCAAAAATTTTCTCAGTTAGACAATAAAGATGGTAAGTATTGTTGAGTAACCACCATTAAGCCCTCTAGCTAACATGTCCCAAACGTATGAGGAATAACCCAAATTCAGATTGAACATACCCAGTTCCAAACACCAATACAAATGCATTTTGACAAAACAAATCAAATACCAAATATCATGCAGAGAAGAAAACTATCGAGCCCCTATTAAGTAGTCACTTAATCCAAAAGTTTAAACTATGGAGCCGAAAATAATATGAAGCTCTGTAACAGGTATGAAGTGAAGAAAACTACTCACTCAGGGTCAAGGTAACCGAAGGTACCAGCAACAACTGTTGACATATGAGTAACACCTTCAACTGGGAATGATTTTGTTAGCCCAAAATCAGCTATTTTGGCTTGGAAATTTTCACTCAATAAGATGTTCGCAGACTTGATATCTCTGTGTACTCTAGGTGGCTTGCAGCCGTGGTGTAGATACTCCAATCCTAAATTACGAATTCCTTATATATCAGTTCATTTACAGCCTCAAAATAATAAGAAATGAAAGCATAAATGAAATGCTTTCTAACCTTGTGCTGCCTCCACCGCTACACGAAGTCTACCTTCCCAGCTCACGACATCTGCACTCTTATCTACATCCGTAAAGAAAATATATGAATTTACAACTGATTCAACTTTTCTCCTTTTGATTATCACTCTTGTCATCCGTTTGGTTAGAAAGTTTCACAAAAAAAAATCTTTAATTATTAAATGGCCTTGTAAAACTAACCTGACAGATGCTGTTTCAAGTTTCCATTGGCCATGTACTCATAGACGAGCCCAATTTGCTTGCCTTCATCACAATATCCGCATAGAGTTGTCAGGTTTCTGTGATGAACTGTCAGAAGAAGTTTCACCTGTAAATTAAATCTCGTTAGACTTCGCATGCACAAATGTAACTAAGCTCAAAACACTATGTACAATTACTTAATTATATTCAGATTTATATCATACCTCTGCTTCAAACTGTTCATACCCTTGATTTGATAATTCAGAAAGAATTTTCACAGCAACTTCAGTATCATCACCCAAGTAACCATGGTAAACTTTTCCAAAACTTCCTTCACCAAGTTCTCTTTTGAAGTAGAATTGTCGTGTGGGCTCCCAAGAGTCCATGACTCAAGTTTTGGGCTTTACGTAATTGGTCTTGGGCCTAGAATAATGCATTCCCTCCCATTTGTAAATCTATGAATTTATGGAAGTAAAATTTTAACCCTGGCTTAATTGATCTTCATCCCTATAGTTAAATACATCTCTGCTGTAATTAAAAAAAAAAAAAAAAAAAAAAAAAAGTCTTTAAACCCCATTAATCATATAAAATAAACCTTTAAGCTAAATTAGGTTTTTTCTTTACAATTTTTTTTCCCACAATCTCCTAATTTCAACTTATATATATATATTTTTTTAAATTTAGATTCAGATTCATCTTGTTATGTTTTTCATAATTTTAGTATATATTTTCATCAAACAAAAAAATATTTAAAATAAACTAAAATATCACTCATTGACATGACTTCTTTATTCATTTTTTTTAATTCTTTGATGAAATTGGCACTTATGCTAGAATTAATTGTTATCTGTACATATATTTATATATGTGCAAGTAGTAAATATAACTATTCATATCGTTTCTTCATTTTTTATTTTTGGTAATGGGGGTATCCTAGGTTAGCTTACACATACTTCAATTAATTCCTGAGATTGATTGAATATTATTCCTTCATTGACTCCACCCTTGCCATTCTATTTTATTTTTCTTTGATGAGATTAACACCTATGCAGGAATAACTAAAAGTCCACCAATTTAATATATATAGGCTATACAATTGACTGCATTATGGGTGTTTTGACCACCAACTACCAGGTTGGAGAATGTTGAATGCATCCTTTAATGTCTTGACATTCTTGGAACAAAAGGCATGTCAAGCTTTTTTGGATTCCCGAAACTTTTGTCAAGTTTCTGAGATAGAAAACCAGAAGAAATATTAAGCTTCACAATTGAAATGCTAATGCTATTGCTATCACCAATGTGATAAAATGCAAATCATAAACCAAGGATAGAAATTAAACCTGAAGTCTGTATTCGAATCATAAAAGCACTTATGTATATGTTCTTTCAAAAAAAAAAAAAAAATAAATAAATAAACGGCACAAATTTATACATAAGATTGTAAATTACAAATACAAATAGCTCACTTCAAGCACTAAAGGAAAATTTTAACATAATACAATGTGATTNTCGAGTTGAGTATTATTATGCTCAAGCTTGACTCGATTTGACACAAGAGCTACTTGAGTTTGAGCTCAACTCTAGTCGAGTTTGAGGCTCGTTTGCAAGGCTAATTAGATATAAGAGTGAGCTAGAAATTGATTTGACAATTGATAGAAATTAATTTTCATAATTAATAGAGACTCCTACATGATAAAACAGTAATACTTTACTCAGATTAATATTTGAGAAACAAAACGAAACAACATAATCCATCTCCATGCATCTTCCCCGGATCCAGCAAAGATGGAAAGTGTATTATAATTGTTACATTGATTGAACTACACAGCTTCAACGATCCACAAGATTCCTGGAAAGAAATTAAAGTAAGCTTTACTACCTTGCTAAAGGAGTAAATTCAGAATCCAGACGAGGGCTGTTAATTACTGTGGCATTGGCGTAATCATTTTGGCCAAGTTGTATTGCTAAGCACTCTTTCAATCCCATCACTACCTCAATCATGGTTGGCCTCTTAGAGGAAGCGTGAGAAGCAGAAGCTAGTGCTAGTTCCACAGCTTTCCACGCTGAATTGATGTTTAAATTTTCCCCTAAACGTGGATCAACTATTTTTCTAGTATCCCCCCTTGCAAGCCTGGATTTTGCCCACTCACTTATGTGAGTATTTTCGTAGGATTTCAGTATCACCGGTTGGCCTGTGATTATATTCAAAAGAACAAGTCCGAAGCTATATACATCACTCTTTTCATTCAACCGGCTGGGCACAACCAAGCACCTGCACATAACCAAAGAATCTGATATTATGAAACCTTGAAAGATACGCAAAAACATGCGTTACACCCGCATTGCTTAAGTACTTACTCTGGGTCAAGGTATCCCGAGGTGCCAGCAACAGCGGTTGATATACTAGTGCTACTTTCATTTGAAAATACACGGGATAGGCCAAAATCAGCTATCTTGGCTTGTAACTTTTCATTCAATAAGATATTTGAAGGCTTCACATCTCTGTGGACCATGGGTGGCTTACAACCATTGTGCAGATACTCCAAGCCTACATACAAACTTGATATCATAATTCCTATATAAATCTTATAAGCAACAAACAAAAACTGATATATTGTGCAATCACTAACCCTGGGCAGCATCCAATGCTATTTGCATTCTTTCTTCCCAGCTCAAGGAATATTGATTTTTATTACCTGTATATGATCAATGCAAATTTTACTGAAATGAACTTACAAATTTCTATTTATTCATTAAGGGCAATGATATAAAAGTGTGTGACCTGACAAATGTTGTTCCAAGGTTCCCTTAGGCATGTACTCATAAATAAGCCCCATATTGGCGCCTTCAATGCAGTAGCCNGGAATGATTTTGTTAGCCCAAAATCAGCTATTTTGGCTTGGAAATTTTCACTCAATAAGATGTTCGCAGACTTGATATCTCTGTGTACTCTAGGTGGCTTGCAGCCGTGGTGTAGATACTCCAATCCTAAATTGCGAATTCCTTATATATCAGTTCATTTACAGCCTCAAAATAATAAGAAATGAAAGCATAAATGAAATGCTTTCTAACCTTGTGCTGCCTCCACCGCTACACGAAGTCTACCTTCCCAGCTCACGACATCTGCACTCTTACCTACATCCATACAGAAAATATATGAATTTAAACTGATTCAACTTTTCTCCTTTTGATTATCTCTCTTGTCATCCGTTTGGTTAGAAAGTTTCACAAAATAAAATCTTTAATTATTAAATGGCCTTGTAAAACTAACCTGACAGATACTGTTTCAAGTTTCCATTGGCCATGTACTCATAGACGAGCCCAATTTGCTTGCCTTCATCACAATATCCGCACAGAGTTGTCAGGTTTCTGTGATGAACTGTCAGAAGAAGTTTCACCTGTAAATTAAATCTCGTTAGACTTCGCATGCACAAATGTAACTAAGCTCAAAACACTATGTACAAGTACTTAATTATATTCAGATTTATATCATACCTCTGCTTCAAACTGTTCATACCCTTGATTTGATAATTCAGAAAGAATTTTCACAGCAACTTCAGTATCATCATCCAAGTAACCATGGTAAACTTTTCCAAAACTTCCTTCACCAAGTTCTCTTTTGAAGTTGTTGGTGATTGTGGAGAGCTCAGCATACGTAAATCGTCTGATCTTTTCTGTTGACACATGTGGTGATTTTCTTGAGGTTCCTCCCCACATACCTCCTGATTAAAATAACAATCACAATAATAATTCTTGGCATTATTTCGAATACATGCTAAGATACATCTGAAAATACACGAAAATTTCAGACGCATGTGCTCTGGACTCTTCACGTTACTAACACTACTAATTAATGCAAAAAGATACCTCGTTTTGAACTTCTAATTCTCCAGAAAATAGCCAATGCAGCTAATAGTACGAACAAGGAAGCGAATGATTCGACAACTGGAACAACAACATTGTTCTTCTTCTTTCTCTTGCCGCATGAAACTGAAGCGCAAAGATTTGGATTGCCATCCACGCTTCAATTAAACATCAGTGAGAACAGAAGTGAGAAATGGGAATTCAGAACTGTCGCATAAGCTGGCTCCCATGCAAAATGGAGGCTCACTCCTTTTATTGGGCCATTTGCCAGACTGAAGCCCAAACTGATCCAGCCCAAGCTTGACCAGGTTCTTATTTACTTTTTTTTTTTTAAAGTAATATATAATAATACAAATTTAACTGATTATCTGTTATAAAATTAAGTAAATTCTTAGCATAGGAAATTGATGAAAAAATTCAAAAAAAACAAAATCTACCAAACATTATATAGACGTCATATTAACTTATAATGATGGTTAGATCACAGAGTTGACACAAACGTTTTCTATGAAAAATATCTTGTTTTCTTGTGATTGAGAAAGTTTTTGATACGCTAGATGTATCTTTGGCATCATTGAATGCAAGAGGGGACCTAATAGTTATTATATGGTATCATGCCATCATCGAATGCGATATATAAATAGATCTATTAGTCCTTATTAAGTTGATATGTAAATTAGCCATATGTCAACTGACTTGAGAATTAAAATATATTTTGTGATATATTATCTTCTATGCTTATCTTTATATTTATATTATCTTCTATTAGTCCAAGACTTTTTCCTAGTTGGGATTAAAACAGATGTGATATCTTTGTGTTATTGCCTTCAAAATTGGATATATGAATAGGAAGACACTTATTCCTGGAATATCACTGCAAAAACAGAAATTCAAAGGGTATTGAAATTTTTATTGACATGGCCTCATATAGTTGACAAAAAGCATAGTATACCTTAATGATAGGGAACCATTTTGAGATCTTTCAATAGTTCACTGGAACCGAACCTGTGGCTTATTCCATAACTTTCTGCAAAGTCATACCAGAAATATGAATAACTCTTAGCTTTGTGTAAGATAACCATTTCCAGTTTATAATTCCAAGAATTAACTTACAGGTCTTCAAGAATTGCAGTTTAGACACAAACTCTGGCACGATCCAGTCAAACTATTGTTGACAATCCCTGAAATTAAATTTTTGAGTCAATCAATCTGTCTCATCTCGATAGGTTGAAAATTCACTGATTAATCATGGGAGATGGAGATTTATTTATATTACAGGTGCGTATCATTGTAAGATGGATATGTAGAGGAGGTATCTCACCAGTCAATCCATTTGAAGACAAGTCCCTAAATTCATGCCATCATTTGATTAACAAATAAGAGTTATAAAATCAAATTAAAAATCAGTGTGTGTGCGTGAAGACATGAACTTACAGGGAATATATCTTGGAGGATTATTTATCATTAAAACTGCAATCAAGGCCATCACAAATATTCTGAGGAAGACATGGATCTCTCTTGCCAATCTTTTATCGATACAATGACTTGATATTTGTTGATAGCATCAGCTGAAGTGCAGAATCAGCAGAATACTTAGTATTCAAAATGTTGTACAGACAGTGAATGCATATATTTGTAATTCGGAAGACCTTACCATAATGCTCTAGTTTCTGTTGTGGGAGATCTTTCACGGCATAAAAATTCGACGGCGTTGAGGATTGAGGCAGGGTTGATCTTCTGTTTAATATTGAAAACACCCAATTGTGTCCGTCAAGGCTGAAGTAGTGTTACAAGGATGTGGTACAAGATAAGCGAGAAACAGGTCCGTACAAGTAATTTCCTCCAAGTAATATTGAATATTTGGACTGTTAGCAGGAGAACTTTAGTTCGCAAAGTGCATGTACACATAAATCTTTGAGTCGAATCCACAGGAGTGAAAGAGAGTTGTAAGGGTCCACTGCATTTCTGGTGTCCCGGCACTCTCATCGCAATTTGTGGAGGCTGAAAATTTTGTGACTATCAGCATCAACTGTGGAATGGTAGTTAATGTTCCCAGTTGGGATCGTGTACGTACATCTTCGATCAAAAACATCATCCGGATACCTGCAAGATTATAAATTTTTCTTTCCAGATAGCATAGAGTGAATGATTGATTGTAACATTGCGACAATTTTTTTTCACTTAGCTCACCCTGAGTATTCCAGTTGTAATTGGTTGAAAGTTCATCTTGCAACGATTACAAGCGACCCAGATTCTGTGTACATAAGTGTTATTTTTCAGGGGCTGAATTCTAAGATGAATCAATGGTGTCCTGAACTGTATTCACCAGACAGACATCAATAAATTCGATGGAGAAACATGTATGATTTCCTTAAACAGGATGGTGGAACTTGCCAAGAACAACAGAATCCCACAGATCTCGGCCCCAGGTACAAATCAAATGACTGTGGTGTTGTAGTTTTGTCATCAAAATTTCCATAAAAGAAGTTCGCTCTGATCAAGTATCTACTTTGTTTGGTAACTTTTACATGGTAACAGTTTTTGGATCCTTCAGGAAAACTTCTGAGAGTCCATAGCGGTTGTTGAAGACTATCTAATTGATATGTTACAGCCACACTGTTGGTTATCCCAGTTTCTATGAAGCTTGCATCAGAAACATAATAAAGGCCAGTTTGTGAATCAGTGTAGTTTGAAGCTGCTCCACAATCTATGCTGATAAATCCTGGAAAGAGAAGTAAAATTATTAGCTAGTTCTGACTTACATTATCCATGAAAGTTAATGTTAACAAGAAAAAGATTCAGAAATGAAAGTTGACCTGGTTCCTGAGCCTGAACCTGCAGAAGAACAAACGCAAAAGCAGCTAGAAATGCAAAGAATATACACTCAAACATTCTCATGACCATTTTCTCTGGTTTCTTCCAGGGAATATTGTGATCAATGAAGCACTAATTTGGCCAATCATATATCAATTCATTAAGCTATATTGTGTAGCTTTACAAGCTCGCATGTCAATAAAATGTACAATACAGATATTGACGAGTCTTCATATTATTAAAGTCCAACATTCCAGCCATATTTCCAATTCCAAGCCGATATGAAAAGTAGTTTGACCAAATTAAAGTCCGAAGTTATCTTGTAAAAGGGGAGCGTAATTTACAGCCAACGAAATCCATCCACAGATTTAGAGTGGACTTTGCCACTAGCATTTAAATTCAGGATGAGACAAATCTTGTAAAGCAATCAGAAATTAGTTGAGAGATTATTTTTCAATAATGATATTGCCCATCTATTCACTATTTGTCCAGTAGGGGTGTTGAGATATGGGGTTATAGTATACAGTACTCTTAGGTTCAAATCCTTTTCGCTCTTAAAATTTAAGTAGATTATCATAACGGTGACATACTGTGCTAATTACCTACAGAGATTAGTAAATATACATGCAAACTAACTTAGACATCATGTTTAAAAAAAAAAATAAAAAAATCCTATTCACTATTTGTCGGTGTGTACCTAATTTTTTTTTTTCTGGGTATTATATTTTTCAAGTTAATAAGCAAAGTCCTCCGGGAGAACAAATTAACGAAATATTATAATGTTTGACTGTGGGTGCTCCAAGAGATTCTATACTGATTTGTCACATCGATCCACTAGGCCACTACTTGGTTGGTGATGAACACTTTAAATTCTCTCTTTAAGGCTTTCCAAAACCATTTCGCCATAATTAGTGATTTGTTGTTAATTAATTTCCAAAGGTATTACTGTGTAGTGCTGACAATTAGCCAGCTAAAAATATTGAACAACTATTCTGATTTCCAAAGGTATTACGGTTTTAGCTGATTTCGTAAACAACATTCACACACAATATATTTTACGATATATCCTGACAATGGTGATAATATATTAATTATATATGCGACCCAGAGCACTGATAAAACAATAGTTTTATTGTCACAGTTAATATGGATAATGCTTTTTTTATTATTTTTTGTTAAGTAAATAAATTTAAGATGATTGGATAACTTTAAATTTAAAAATAAATTAAATAATTAAACAATATTACATGACAAACATACAAGATTCTTACATCTGTTATAGGGAATAGTTTGTATAAATGGTTTATATATGTAACATTATTCCAGTTAATATTATATGTGAAGGTTAATTTAGAGTAAAGTACAAGTAATTAACATGTATTAAATAAAATTCATGTTGCAAAAGAATGACAATGAACGTTATAAAACAAAAACAAAAATATTCATTATCATATGGTCCATGTCTAATTAAACAATCTAAAACACTAATTTCAATATTATCTGTGGTCTGACTTCTTAGACCAACATGCAATTTTATAACGTAAATTGTGTAGATGTACATGCTGCGACTGAAGATACAATTGTCTTTTTTAATGTATATTAATGCACCAACTTTGTTTATATTATATTATCTAAATAAACTAATTAAAATTATAGTGCTATCTAAGTAGGTTATTATATAGCTTGACTCGGTCAGTTCTGACAATGAATGANCCATGAAAGTTAATGTTAACAAGAAAAAGATTCAGAAATGAAAGTTGACCTGGTTCCTGAGCCTGAACCTGCAGAAGAACAAACGCAAAAGCAGCTAGAAATGCAAAGAATATACACTCAAACATTCTCATGACCATTTTCTCTGGTTTCTTCCAGGGAATATTGTGATCAATGAAGCACTAATTTGGCCAATCATATATCAATTCATTAAGCTATATTGTGTAGCTTCACAAGCTCGCATGTCAATAAAATGTAAAATACAGATATTGATCACGAGTCTTCATATTATTAAAGTCCAACATTCCAGCCATATTTCCAATTCCAAGTCGATATGAAAAGTACTTAGATCCAAAGCTTGGAGTCAATGGAAGAAAAGTTTGACCAAATTAAAGTCAGAAGATATCTTGTAAAGGGTAGCGTAATTTACAGCCAACGAAATCCATCCACAGATTTAGAGTAGACTTTGCCACTAGCATTTAAATTCAGGATGAGACAAATCTTGCAAAGCTATCAGAAATTAGATGAGACGATTATTTTTCAATAATGATATTGCTCATCTATTCACTGTTTGTCCAATACGAGCGTTGAGATGTGTGATTAAAGTACATAGTCTTAGATTCAAATCTTTTTCACTCCCAAAACTTAAGTAGGTTATCATAGCGGCGACACATTGTGCTAATTACCTATAGAGATTAGTAAATGTGTGTGCAAATTAGCTTGGATATCATGTTTCTGGGTATTATATTTTTTAAGTTAATAACCAAAGTCCTCCGGGAGAATAAATTAACGAAATATTATAATGTTTGACTTTGGGTACTCCAAGAGATTCTATACTGATTAGTCACATCGATCCACTAGGCCACTACTTGGTTGGCGATGAACACTTTAAATTCTCTCTTTAAGGCTTTCCAAAACCATTTCGCCATAATTAGTGATTTGTTGTTAATTAATTTCCAAAGGTATTACTGTGTAGTGATGACAATTAGCCAGCTAAAAATATTGAAAAACTATTCTGATTACAGGAGTTGATTTCGTAAACAACATTCACACACAATATATTTTACGATATATCCTGACAATGGTGATAATATATTAATTATATATGCGACCCAGAGTACCTGGTAAAACAATAGTTTTATTGTCACAGTTAATATGGATAATGCTTTTTTTATTATTTTTTGTTAAGTAAATAAATTTAAGATGATTAGATAACTTTAAATTTAAAAATAAATTAAATAATTAAACAATATTACATGACAAACATACAAGATTCTTACATCCNTATTTGGTTTAAGGGGAAATATCGAGTATAGAAGTGAGTGAGAAGGGTGTTTATGTAAAAGATCAAAACTGAAGGATTGTTTTTGTAAAAGTTTAATACTTGAATGTAATACGGTGACGCTTTGGTGCTTTGTGTAGCTGCTATATAAATGCAGCATTCTTGTATCTGAACTTTCTAGTCAATTAATAACAGTTTCTCTGTTTTCTAAATTCGTTAGTTCTGCTTTGTGTTTCTCTTAAATACTTTTCTGTTTTACATTTTTTGTTCAAGTCCGTCCTAGAATCTTCAGAAATTAAAACAAGTAGTGTCCGGTATGATCATAGTATATATTTTTTCATATGTTCTATGTTTATGAAAATCTTACCATGTTTTCTCCTTGCCTTAAGGCTGCAGAAGATAGCCAATCCAATTATGAGTGCGGACAATGTTGCAGCAACTGATACTGCTAGTGGAATAACAAACACGTTCTTTTTTCGGCTTGAAGAAGACAGGTCGTCCACACTTGCATCAATTGATTGACAACAAATTAGAAAGTATAACTTAAAATAACAAACATGGAAATATATGTAAGATGAGTAATATAAATATACATATAAATATCATATACAGACTTTACTTGAGGACTTAACATTGCTACTATATTGTCACGTGATTCCTACTTATATGTATAACTATTCATTGATTTTATATTTTAATGACCTTTCTTTATTCGCTTTGTGATCATGGTGTAGATAATTTACGATCACATAAATGCTTTTTGATGGTTTCTGAGAAAAAGCAAACCTTAATGTAAGTGATCCATCCTCCGACCGTTTCTTGAGTTCAGCTGGAAGTGATCCTGTGAATCCGTTTCCTTTTAAGTTTCTGGAAAGTGATAAGATAAAAATATGAATGGCCCCTTAATATATCTTCCCTGTTAAACTCTTTGTCAAATGAAGTCTATAAACTTACAGGACTCTCAAGGATGGCAGTCGAGATAAGAAATCAGGCACTGCTCCAGTTAAGCTATTATCTGATAGATCTCTGTATCCAGCAATTTTTGTTCAATGTTAGTGGTGAGAGACGAAATTCAAATTGATAGTAATTGTGGTGTCAACGAGTTGATAGCTCAATATTGATAAATATAAGATATATTAATTAGATGATAGCTCAATATTGATAAATATAAGATATATTAATTAGATGATAGCTCAATATTGATAAATATAAGATATATTAATTAGATTTTTGATGTGAGGTAGCTAGAATACTTACAAATATTGAAGTGATGCCAATTCCGCAAAGAATGGAGCTACTTCGCCAGTCAATTCACTCGAAGACAAGTTCCTAGTTTGATGTTCAAAACAGAGTACTTACTAATCGAAACCGTACGTTCTGAATTTCTTGTAATTGTCATTGGATTTCTTCTAAAGGGCAAGGTTTATTATGTTAATTAATTTTAGATTTGTGAAAACAAAAAACAGATGAAATAATAAACTTACAAAGAAATGATTCTAAGACGACTATTATCCTCAGAGCCGCCGCTGCAGTTAAGGCCTTCCCAGCGGTATCCTTCAGGGGTACAGGGGTCACCTTGCCAGCTGTTTTTTTTCACTTGATAGGTCGATTTTATATGCATCATAGCATTTACTGAAATTTTCAAGTGTAAAAATCAACCAAGTGATTTTAAATCAATTTCCATCACCAGAAAAGTAAATGCATACGAAAGAGTGCTATGTTGAGTAAAGCATACCTTCAACTTCGAGAGTTTGCGATTGTGAGAAATCTATAACCATGTAGACCTCAATGGCATTCAGAATGGGTGGAAGGTCTGAATTCTCAGTTTTATTGATTTCAATTTTGATACTTCCTCCTTTCAGTGGTGAGAATGGGTAGATAGTTAATGTGGACATATAATCAGGAAAAAAAGGCCCGTAAGCATGTTTGCCGTTTTCATACAAGTTAAGTTCTCTGGTTTGGCTTCCCAAGGTCTCAAGTTCAGCAATATGCTCGTAAGAATAGTATTGGAAATTTGGATCCGTAGACAAATCCCAAGAAAACCAATAGTTCCCATCATCACTTGATGGCTGGACGGCTGTACTCATAACGGAGGTTGGTACTTCGAAAATGCTAGAATTGGAAGCTTGGGTATAAATATTGGTGATAGGGCTCAATGTTTCCAAACCAGAATTGCTTATTAGCTTAGGCTTCCAAATGCGGTCATATATATCGTCGATGTATCTAATTCGGCATCACTTTCAATCATTAATTAAGCAAAAATAAAATAATCTTTATATTTCACTCATAAATATGATATTATATAAGATTTCACCTGACTGATTTATTTGTTGTAGAGCCCAAGTCAAATCGTCCTTGGAGCAGAAGGGATTCAGTCGACGGATTCTGTGTCTGGTAAAGCGAACTACTCAAAGGCCTAAGCTCTAGCGCTGAAATGAATGGTACACCACGGCCCGTATTATTAAGACACACATATATATAATCTGTTGAAGGAACATGTATGATCTCCGTTGTTAAAATACTGGAAGCATCCTCCAGAATTATTGTCCCCCAGAAAATAGCCCCCAGATACAGATCAAACTTGGGCACACTATTTTGGCCGTCATAATTTCCATACATGAAACGGGCTCTGATCAAATACTTACCATTTTTTCCTTGCGCAGGATTCAGTGTGTAACAGTTTCTTTTACCTTCAGGGAAGCTTCTCACATTATTAAACTGTGCTTCATCGCCTCTATTCTGGAACTCGGAAGATACGTCCCTTGATTTTCCAGCATCTGTGACGTTTCTATCTGAAGTATATTTTATGCCAGTAACACCATCTGCATAGTCTGAACCTTCTGGTATGCCACAATCTATGCTAATGAATCCTGAGAAAAACAGAGGACAAAATGCTTAGAACTTAAATTTACATTAATCTAATATAAACTTCACATATGTCAGTTTTAGATTACAAATATCGGGTATATATTGATAATATTAGCTAACCCCATAGCGATAATAAGTAATTAACATTTGTTAAGCAGACAAGTTCAAACCTGATTGATCCTGAGCATGAATCAGAACAGCAAGAGTGAAACCAGCAAGCAAAGCATAGTAGAAACTCTGTAACTTCTCCATCATCCTCTCTCTTTTTTATATAGTTTGTTTTTTCTTATGTGAAATATAAGTGGATCATGCTTCATATATATACAGCAAAGTTAATTAGTGTATCAATAACATTAATGATAATTAAGATAGACTTGTTGTCTGAACAAGTCAATTGGTGATCAAATTTCAAGTTTCCCGGTTGATACTTCAATATCTGTTGGAGATCCCATACCGATTAGGCAAGCTCAAGTCAATGGGTTTATAAGAGTGGACAATCGTCCTACTCAATAAGGTTTTTTGGTGAGGAATTAGGCCTAACTCCAACAATATCATTGTACATATTAGCATGAAGACACCCATATCATATGGAGTCAGTCTATTTTGTGTTACATATGTGCAGAGTTTAAACCTCGGCAATTACTTGGATGCTGCTTGATGATACCAAGTCAATTATCATGCATTAGCTGGCAATATTCACACGCTACAACTTCTAAAATAGAGAAAGAATGCTTCGATGGAAAATAAAACATGAAATATATTTCCAGGAAGCTGACATTGCATATGAAATTTCTAAGCAATGAACGTAAAAGGAGGGTAATTGAGAATGCGGAAGACTAGCAAGCGATGACTCCACACATGAGCGGGAGTCTATACATTGAACACAAAAATGTTAAATATAGTGAGTCCATCAGAGGTCTACCGCTTGAGAACTACAGCTAATTAATATGTGGGAGTATTGACTGGTTCTCAGGTCAATGTTAAACCATAACCATGAGAAATTCCCGTTAATAAATTTTGCATGAGTGTCGAACCGGTCATCACGGTCACAAAATTAAACCTAAATATCGTAGTTAGCGGTAAGCAGATTCGAATCCACAGAGAGCAAGACTAATGACCTAATATATATTTGAGTTAACGAAAGAGAAATTGGCAAAAAGATTACTTAAAACTAAGGAAACTAATTACTTGCAGGAAATTAAAAGCATCAAATAAATTGCTAACTAAAACACAATATTAAAAGCGTTGTCGCTACGGGTTCTGTTTGACTCAAGACCAACTCTCACAATTCCTTTCCTCGTTCTTCACTTTCCTAAACCTACAAGGCTAGGCAAATCAATAAAATGGCTTCTGGAAATCTAGGTATAATCTATCATGTCTCCCCGTCGTCTTAGTTACAGATCGATTGGTTAAAGACTATCATCGACTAACCGAAAAACGCTAAACCCTTAAACACCACTAGTTGGTACAACGTTAACAAGTACAACCTATCAACCTGTATCATCCTATCAACTAATGACACAACAAATGCATTCCTAGTAGAAATGATATTTAACGTTACTACAACTTGATTGCAATCAGTACCGAAGCAATTTAAAGTCATAATCAAGATTCAATAATCTCAAACCGACATTCAATTATGCGAAAAGTTATATATCAATAAACGTTCTCAATGGACATTATCAATTCAACACGTCGAGCATCAGAATAATATTAAAGCATCGCAAACAAACTGAAACGAAAACAAATATAATCTGAATAAAAGAAACTTAACCAATGTCCAACATTCGGGCTCATCTAACTAGTCAAGAGTTGATGAGGAGATCAATAGAGTTAATCTCGATCTCGCCTACACCATAACAGACAACCAGGAACTCAGCCGCTTGTGGTGGTGATGACGGAGGCTGAAACGGTGGAAACGAAGCTGATCATGGCAGAGAGGAGGTAACCGACAATGATATAATGCAAAGAAGGGGCGAAAACGACCAACGGACAGCCCGAAATACGAACAGCCGCACTCGTCAGAAAACGTTAATTTTCTGACAAGTCTTTCAAAAAATGGTGGCGGAAATGGGATCCGAAGGTACCGATGGAAAGCTCTGGTGATGGGGAGTTCAGATCAGGTCCTGGGGAGGTGAGAAGTCGCCAAAAATGAGCAGGATCTGGGCTGAAAGATGAAGAGTCGCGGTGGCTAGATGGCGGATTCTAGCGGTTTTCGCGGCGCCTGAAGTTTGGGATGTGTAGATCCGGCCGTGGGGAAGGGAGATCAAGTCCTGGGGAGCCAAAACGTCGTCGAAAAACGGCCAAAACTGGCCTGGAAGACAAAACGTCATGGTGGTGGAAGGTGAAGCGTTGGGGTGTCGTGATGGTTCCCACGGTAGTGATTTTTGGTGGCTCATGAAGACTGGTGCATGGGGAGATAGATCATAGTCGAAGGGAGACGAAGGGTCACCGGACCTCGCCGGAAAACTGGGTGAACAGCCTCCCCCCTGATCTGCGGCTTTTCTTTCCTTTTATAGAACAAAATGGAAAATGTCACTTTGGTCCCTACATAATTGAAAAGTGACAAATCAACCCTTATAAATATGACAGTTTACCCCCTAAACAGCATAAATGAGACAAAATCACCCATAATCCATAAACCACAACCTAATATCAACTCATATCCTTTCCAAAATCATTCCAAACACGTTAAATTCATAAGAAAAATATTAGGAAACGATTTTTGTGAATAAATTCATAAATTCTTTAATTGTCTCAATACTTCAATTTAATCACACATAGGGTATTTTTATCACCAAAATAGAGTCACTTTCATGACTCTAACACACTTCCCAACTTACTTTTTGCTCGTCCTCAAGTAAAGTTAAAAGAACTTTTTCAACATTCTCACAAAATCATATACAACCATATTCATCAACAACCAAGACATTCATCAAAAGGTAAAGTGAAGAATTTGAACCTAACATGCAAACAACACAATCCTAAATAAAGAACTAAAGTTTCTGTCAATATTTGTCCATCTCCATTCAAGCTTCTCAAACACAAATTTCATATTCATATCACAATGTTAAAATGTCATGAAAAACTCCCCAACTTATGTACATGCAACATAATGCTCATTTTCCACACAAGATTTTGACATATTATTTCTTTTCATTCATCACTTTTTTTTTTTTTCTTTCTTGTCTTAACTTCTTAAGATTTCTAGAAGGTCCATGTAACAGGCTTTAGGTCAATGACTCCTAAACCAGATGGCTATAAGGCACTAAGTGTAGAACACTCCTCAAACTTACTCGCCCGAACCAACTAGGCTACAAGTCAAGACTTTATTTCTTTATTTCTTTTTTATAAAGCTTATGATCTATGTAATGAGTTCTTAAGCTTTCTAGAGGACCCATGTAACGAGCTTTAGGCCAACCGCTCCCAAGCTAGATAGCTTTAGGGGATTAGGTGTAGAACACCCATCGGGCGTACTTACTCGAGTCAACTAGGCTACAAATCAAAACCAAATAAAAACCAAATCATCAAGCAACATTTAAGCACTTTTAACACATGTAAGATAATAAATGAAACTTTGCTCTATGGGCATGTAAAGTATGTGGGAGAGTTGCATAAACACTCAAACATATGACATTTACACAAAACGGTGTCTAACCACAATTATGGACAAACCTAGTATAAAACAGAACCAATAGTTCAATGTTTAAAAACATGTTGTAACAAACCATTTTCAAAAACCTCACAAAACCTTTCAACTAGCACCTCAATTGCTTCTAAAATGGTGATTATGTATGAATTCATAAATTTTTTTTAAAAATAACTCACTTTAGTTCACTTTAACCACTTTTGGACTTACAAGAGTAGGATTCAATATATTTTCAACAAAACACAACATCATCTGCCACAAAAATTTAAGCACAATCCATTCAACACACAATCTCCACAATCTCCACAAAAGCATCATCAACAACACTTCACAAAAAATATGATCAACAACATACTCCACAAAATAAAAATCAATCAACACTCCCCAACTTAAAATGTCATTATCCTCAATGACCCACAACTATAAACATCCTCCCCAACTTCGCATCAAATGATCTCAAATGGGAATATGATCAATAACATTAACATCGTCCAACATATTTGAGAAACAAGAAATCTAACAATAATAGCATATAAGGTGGAGAGATACAACCTGAGGAACAATGGTGGGGTTGTCACCAACAAAGTTTGTGGAGCATGCGTAAGCGTAGCCTTGGACTAGTTAATGAATTTCCACACATGACAATTCCTACAAAGACAAAAACAACAAAAACATAAAAGCAATAAAAACATAGTTAAAAAGGTAGGTTGCCTCCCACTAGCGTTAAGTTTTAAGTCTTCAGCCATACAATGCAAACATCAAGTTCAAGGTGGTTGAAACGTTGGCGGTGCCTTACATGACCCTCGCCATTCAGTAACAAGTAGGGTATCACGAGGTCCCAAGAAGGCATATGTGAATTTAATACACCATTTCCATGTGCACAAGTCTTTTAAGAACTTAGCATAGGCAGGTATGAGCTTAATGACATATAGAAGTGGAATACCAATCAACCATTGTCTAAACAGCTCGACTATTTCCTCCATCCTAGTAGTTTTCTTAAAGTTGGATGCATTATTCGACTCTAGGTATTGAGGACAAGGTTCTATCGACATGTCAAATGCAGGGGATGGTTCTTTCTCCCCAACTTCCTCGTTTTCATGTCTCGGCACACCTAACTCTATGGTTAGTTCTCTTTCACTCCTCTTCGCTTGGTTTCCCTCTAAGCTCTCTTTCTCTCAAAACTCAGCATATAACTCCCTCTTAAGCCTAGCTTGTTCATGACACCCCATCTGGTAAGGTGCACCATTGGGATTATCTACAATTTGACTCAGCAAATGGCATTCCTCTCTCTTATAAACTGCTTCAGCTATTTGACCTATTTGGGTCTCTAGCTTACTAATAGATTGGGAATGGGAATGTAATATCTGATAATGCTGCTCTAAGTCATTGAACCTAGCATTCATGTCATCTTTTTGTTCTTGCATGGTTTGGAGCATTTGAGCCATCATTGATTCGAGTGGACTGGGCTCTAGAGTGGGCTGTTGGACAGGAGGTGGGATCCTAGGTTGGGCAGGTGGTTGGACTGAATACATGTCTCAATAATTGTCTTGTTGATTGAAAGAACTATATGGCATATTATGGGAGACATTCTAAGATTGTTCCT